CCCAGGACCCCCCAGCCTGTCCTGGGCCGTCGAGGGAGGCACTGCGGCACCCGCAGCCCGGCCCCACCTGTGGGGCGCCGCAAGAGGCTACTTCTTCTTGGGGAAGAAGCTGAATCTCTTTTCCTTGTCTTTCTTGCCCAGGCTGGTGTCAGGGCCGGTGATGGAGGGCAGGGGCAGGCTCTGGGCCTTGACGCGGATACTCTGGGACTCGTTGATGGCGGTGCTCACGCCCTGCAGCCAGGACAGCATCTCCTCCTGTAGGGCGGGAGGGTCAGGCCTCACACCTCCCCAAAGGACGGGAGGGAGGCCCTAGGACTGCCCCTTCTGAGGGAGCCTTCTCCATCTGCCCCTGTGTCCCAGGGGCTGGGCTAGGCTGCCCTGCACTTACCTCGTCCTTGCCATGGAAGAGCCACTCGCTGCCATTGCTCAACCTAGGAGGACAAAGGGTTTCCTGTCCTGGGCCACCTCTGGAGCCCCTGCCCGGGCAGAGGGCTGGCTCTGATGCCACAGCACCCGAGAGAGGTAAGAATCTGGGCCCTCAGCCTTTTTGATTTGAATAATCCCTGTGGGGCAACTCAGGCATGGAGCTGGCCCCATGGAGAGGCCCCTGTCCAGCCACTCATGCCAGTCACACCACCAGGGAAGGGCGGTGGACAGGAGGGGCCTCACCTCAGTTTGAAGACGTGCTTCTTCTTCTTGTAGTTGGCAGCAATCTCGCAGATGGCATGCCTCAGGGCCAGGGGCTCCTCCCCGTGGTAGGGCACCCCCAGGGCCAGGTTCTTGGCGTCCTTATAGAAGGTCAGCTCGCTGTTCCTGAGCACACAGTACAGGTGGTTCCAGGACCTGCAACGATGCAGATGGGCAGGTCACCCCCCGTCCTGGTCCACGGCTCGACAGTTCCTAGAGCTGCCCCTGGTTTTGACGACACCATTTTTGCCCTGATAAGTAGTAATACATTTTCTTGGAAGTAAAAGTCATCTCCATGTAATTTCATTGCCAAGAGTTAACTATTGTTAACATTTCATGTATTTCTAGTCTTTTTTTCTACTCACGTTTTTCTACTCACATACCCGGGTGGACATTTGTATTGTTAACATTTCATGTATTTCTAGTCTTTTTTTCTATTCACATGTTTTTCTACTCACATACCCGGGTGGACAAAAGTAGGTTTACAGTTGTGAGTATATGCAACAGAGTTTATTCTTGCATTATTTACTAATTGTATTATTTATTTGTATTACAACTCTAAACCTACTTTTGCCCCCCCCATAGCTAAAATTGGATTACACTATATATCCAGTTTTATGTCCTGCATTTATGCTTAACATTATATCATGAGGACATCCTCAAATCCTTAAATATCTCTTGAAAGTAATTTTGAATAGCTGTATGATATCCCGTCACATGTATATAAATAATCTCTTTATTGGTGGACCAGGGGGTAAACATTCTTGTGCATAAACCTTTGCCGATGACGTTGATCTTACCTTGAGATACGTTTTTAGTAGAATCGTCGAGTCTGAGACCAACAGTGTACACTTTGCACAGCACCTCCCCGTCCATGAGCACACTGGGTTCTCAGTACAGAGCCGTGACGTGCTGAGTGGGGTTTTGTTTGGTGGTTGCTGTTATTTTTTTGTTTTGTTTGCTGTTACTTTTTGTTTTGTTGATATATGCCCAGCAAACTGTACTAGCACTTGTACAAGAAACGTATTTGTGCAAATCAAGGCTCGGCTAAGCTGGTGTGCTGGGTGACAGCAGCGAGCTTGTAGCTGCCGTGGGCTAACCCGAGCTCCCCCATGAGAAAGGGGGAACATGTTGCAATTTCAGAGATGAACTCTGAGAAACCTTAAGCTCCTCTTCCTTCTTCCCCCTCCTCCTTCCCCTCCTCCTCATTCTTGCTTCTCCCTCCCTCCCCCTGGAGGGCAGGAAGGTGGAACACTAGTAGGGCACGCAGGGAGGAAGGGCAGGGAGGTCGGAGAGAGAACGGAACCTGTACAAGGCTGGCTACAGAGCCAGTTCACCGAGCCCAGCTTCCTGACGCCCAGCTTGGGGCTCTCCTCCAGCCCCTCACCACCACCTTTGAGTTGTAGCCCAAGTAAGGCAGCTGCTAAGAAGGGTCTGGGTCTGGGAATAAAATCCTGCCTGGAACAAATGGTTTAATCTGAGCTTCTGTTTCCCCATCTGGAAGATGGAAACCTCAATATCACAGGGCGGTCAGGAAGATTCCATCAGTCCTAACATCATGCCTGGTACACAGTAGGTGCTCAATAAATGCCACTTTCCTCGTTCCTGGTGGACTCTCCACATAGGCAGTACACCTCTCCAGCGCAGTGGAGTTCCTGAATTCATTTCTGGAATTTGCATTAGCTTTGGCATCCCCAGGACAGTCTGTGTGTGCTCAGCTGGTCCTGGGACATGGCTGGCTTCGACCTCCTTGCCACCGAGTCCCTGGGACCCTGGACAGCGGCCTGAAGGTGGAGGCCCAGAGTCCTTAAAGAGGCATCTCTGGGTAGAACAAACCCAAGGGCGTGACTGCCTCCAGGTCAGGAAAGGACACAGCTTTTGAAGGAATTCCTCAAGGTCATGGAGTCGCTGCATCTACGCCGACCCCACTCTCTCCTGTATTATAGCCGGGGAAACAAGCCCCGATTGGTAACAAGTGGGACTTGGTCAAGGATATGTTGTCAGTGCCAAGACTGACCTACCCCGCCCTGGGATCAGAGTAACAGCACTGGTGGTCTCTACGCTGTTCCAGGCCTGGTCTCCGCATCAAGGAGGCATGCTATCGTCATCTTACAAAGGGGGAAACTACTAACTTAGGCTGAGTAACTTGCACAAGGTCACAGGATTTGAACTTGGGACCAGAGCTGAAGGCAGGCTTTCCCCATCATGCCAGGTGTCAGAGGGGCGCCCAGGAACACTCAAGACCGGAGGTAGAGGACACCCTCTCCCCCAGCACAGAACTATGTTGCCCAGGCTCCCCTCCCACCGCAGCCTCTTCTCCACCCACCTGTTGGATGCCTTCTTGTTGGGCCCCTCCAGGTCGTGCTTGCGGCCCAGGTAGCCCTCCATCTGCACGCTGTGCCCGTGGTCCTGCTGGGCCGGCAGCGTGATAGGCTCGTCGCCCTCGCTCAGAGGTGTGTCCAGGACCTTGAGAGGCTCTGTGGCGGGCCTCTCATCCCCGCCGGATGTCTCCTCCTGCCCTTCCTTCTGCGGCCCCGGTGGGGGTGGCGGCTGCAGGTCCTGGGGCCACTGTCTCTCTTCTTCCCCCTGCTCAGGGGCACATGCGGGGAGCACACCTTGCTGGGGTTCTGCCCGGGGACGGCTGCTCAGCAGAACTGGGAAGCCAGCAGGCCCCCAGCGGAGCCCGGTTCCCTTCTGCTGTGCCCCTCCTGGCCCTCCCTGGCTCTGCACGTGCTGTGGGTACCAGCTGGCCTGCTTCCCTAGTCTCTGCCCACGTCTCTGGCTCCATTCCCACCCCCAATCTGACATCAACAGGAGGTTGTTAGAGTGAGCCGAAGGGGCCCGCATGGTTATCTCACCCAGGGGGTTGCGACCCTGCTGGCCAAGCCCGGCTCCCCACCTGCCCCAGGCCCTACCCTGCCCTGTCACGTGCTCTAACTCCAGCCGAGTTCTACGTGGGCTCTGGCAAGGTTTCCTATGAAGGACTGCTGTTAGGCAGGGTTGAAAAACACGTGCGTAAGATGTTGAATGGGAACTCTTTGTTACCTTCCACTTGTGTCTAAATAAAACCTCAAAGTGAGGGCGCCAGGCCCTATGTGTCCCCCACGCCCTTAAAAAGGGAGAACCCGGCCTAGTTGGCCCTGCTCCTGCCATTTGATGGCGCAGCGGTTCCCAAGCCTGGATGCCTTTAACGTAAAACTCACCTTGAGAACTCGAATGCAAGAAGCCCGGACCCTGCCTTTACGCTGCTGCGTTAGCCTGGAGCGGGGTCAGGGCA